GTTAAAAATACAAATAATATATCAAAAAATTCAGAAAAATAAAACTAATTCAATTCAAAATTCTAAAAATACAAATAATATATCAAAAAATTCAGAAAAAAAAACTAATTCAATTCAAAATGTTAAAAATACAAATAATATATCAAAAAATTCAGAAAACCTAGCTACACCCACTTGTGAAGAGAATGGCTCCAAATGGCTAAGTGTTGGCTGCTGGATGGGTATATATAGGGGAGGGGTTTTAGTTGCGATTGGCCTAGCAAACCGTGACTAAAGGTGCCCGAAGGCCTTTAGTCGCGGTTGTCCTGGCCAACCGCGACTAAAGACCCTCACGTGCGCCAGCTAGCCACCGAGCGCCCTGGGCCCAGGCCTTTGGTCGCGGTTCACCTCCAGAACCGTGACTAAAGGTCCCATTAGTCGCGGTTCCTACAGCTTCGCGACTTATGGGGCTGGACGGAAGCCTGTTTTTCCACCAGTGGTTCCGGTAAGACCGAAACGAACAAACAAACATGCTAAAATGTATCTATATTTATTTGATTTAAAAATGTTTAAATATCTTATACTACTAGTACTACTACTGTATTTGTAGAAGCCAGTTTAAGGTGAATGTTTGTGCTAGTAAAAAAGTGGTAGCGGTGAGCTTCGATCTCCAGCTTGTTGCAACCGGCATTACTTGCAAGTATGAGCCCTCACGAACAGCGGCGGAAACTCTCTCAGACCAGCAGCAACAATATATGAGGAATGTTACTTTCTTTGTCGTAATTTTACTTTGATTACTTTTCATTGTCCTAGGGAGGCCAATATGACGGCAGATTTGTTGGCTACAAAGGGGGTGTTTGTTTCCAGGGACTTATTGGTTTAGGGACTTAAAAAGGTCCAAGTCCCACCTAAACCAAACACAAGGGGCTTATTGGGATTTATTGTGGTGATTTGGGACTTATCAAATAAGACTCTCAGGGAGGAGCTTATTGGGACTTATCCCGGGCCGGACCTACCCCACGTCGCTCCAGGCTCGTTCCCCGCACGCCGCCTGCCTCTCGGTCCAATCGCCGCCGCCGCCCCGCCTTTCGCTCCGTTCGCCGCCCGCCTCTCGCCCCGTCGTCGCCCCGCCTCTCGCCCCGTCGCCGCCCCGCCTCTCGCCCCGTCGCCGCCGCGTCGCCGCCCCGTCGTCGCCCCGCCTCAGTTCGTTCTGCCTCGGTTCGCCGCCCCGTCGCCGCCCCACCTCGGTTCGTTCTGCCTCGGTTCATTGCAGCGGTGCCTCCAATCGCCGGACAGGCCTTCTCCTGAGCCTCGTTGCAGCGGTGCAACATGGACTTATAAGTCCCGAGTCCCTACTCGGGACTTATAAGTCCCTGTAAACAAACAGGTAGGAAATTATGACTTATAAGTTGAGACTTAAAAAAGTCCTAAGACTTATGAAACAAACAGGGCCAAAGTCGGAGCCCTCACGAACAATTGTTGGAATAAGGCTCCTGACTTTCCTGGAAAAAAAGTGGTAGCGGTGGTAGTAGAAGTAAGCAAGAAGAGAAGCGGTCGTACCTGGACAAGATGCCAAACCAGGTGGAAAGAGGAGGCACGAGTGCATCGCCTTTTGCCCGCTTTCCAATTTTCCCTCCCCCTCATCAAGTCATCACACAACCGGGTGGCCACAGCGTTTTACCTGTGGCGCCCCGCCCCACCCCACTCCCTTCTCTGTTTTATAGCACCCCCTGCCCGCCTGCGTCCTCGGTTTTTCTCCGCTGAGCTTTCCTTCAACCCCGCTCAACTCCCGTCCTTCCTCCCTACAAATCTGGTCTGCTGGCCGCCGGGTCTCTCGCGCTCGCGCAACTACCTCAAAACCCTAGCCACCCTCGCGACCCAGTCGATTGGATCGCCCGCTTCCTCCTCCTCCTCCTCCACCCACACCCAGGTGCGTCGGCTGCCGGATTCTCCTCGCCCTCCCTACCCGCTTCCATGTCTATATGTATGTATATGTCGTTTGCCGGGAAGCGCTTGCTCCTGTCTGTTATCGTCTCCGATGCGCGCCGGGATTTTCGTTTTCCGCCGATTCGTGCCAGATTCACGACTCTCTGAAACCTGTTTTCTTTAGATATCTCTTTCTGACTGTGCGCGTGTTTCTTCTTTCATGGTTCTTGTGATTGTGTGATGTGCAGAGAAAGTCATGGCATGCCCGTTTGTTGGTTTGGTTTTCCTCTGAGATAAGAAATTTTTTGGCGGCTTTCATTCATGCGCTCTTTCCTCTCCTTTCCTTTCCTTTAGCATGCAGCCTTTTGCGCCCCCTTTTTTGGTGCTTTCTGTTCAGGGTGAGCAATCTGGTGATACAAACGGCCGCCGCTGGAATTTGTTTCTTACCTCTTTTTCTCATACCGGGTCGTTATGGATTATGGCTCCCGATTTCTAGTTTTTCATGGGCCATTCCTCAAGGCATATGGACGTGTTTGCCTCAGATTTGTCTTCTCTGTTTCGGTTGCCCTTGTTAATTCGATGACTGACAGGGAAGATCATTTCGGTGGATGTCCCTTTGTATCACCTGTCACTATTCGTGCTTCGTTAAATTATGGCTGGGTTGATGTACAAAACTTTAGATTCTTGCGAATGCTAATTACAGAATTAGAGTTATAATAATAATAAACGTCTTATCGCTTTTGCTTGTTTTCTTGGGTATGCAATCCCTTCAGGGGTATGATACATTTCCATTTCTCAACTTTTCGAAAAAAAAAATCATTTCTCAAGCGAAGTAAAAAGGTGAAGACTCACCGGCGTTTCCTCACGAACTTTGTGAAAACCTGTCATAATATTGTCCAGTTGCACGGTTTGGGTTGGCGTCTAGGTTTTGGGAATTAAGACTCGGCGAGTTGCCATGGATAACAAGGCTGGCTGTCTCACGAATAATTACTTATTGATGTCAATGTTTGATCTGAAAAGCAAATCATAGCTGATGGGATCGTTGTATCTTTATTGATTGGAGGCTCCTCCAAAAGCACTGGCACTAATCCTATGACGAAAAAAATGCAACAATATTATATCTAAGCTAGCTACTGCCAGACTGCCAACAACTGTGGCTTGTCGCAAAGAGATTGGTCACCATAGCTTTTGCAATGTTTGGCAAAAGGGTCGTTTTATCAGCCTGGCAGGATGCTAAGGAAGTGCAGCATCCCATAGTTGTGGTAGTGAGACAAATAAGAGCCATACTTGTGGCAAAGTTTGGTTATGCAAAAAATGTGATGCCATATTGATTGAGGCGGCGTCTAGTTTTAGGTTGTCCCAACTTCTGTAAGGGCATGCACAAGAATCTGATGCGCGCGCTAAGCATATGAAGAATTGAAGACCTTACTATAACTCTTTTAGTTGTGAGTGAAGACTACCTTTTTCCTTCTTTTCGACAAACTGGTCATACAATCATCTCCTGGCAAGTAATACATACTGAACTTAAAAATACTGTAGAAGGGATGAGCTAGTAGTAAGTGAATAGGATCTCCCCGAAGTTGGTGTTATTCTGATAACCCTGTGGTTGGTACTTCCTATAATGTGTTTTGCAAAAGGAACATGACATAATTTTTAGCTATAATATGTGGGCTACAGTGTCAGCAACTTTAACATTTTCCTTCTGATGTGCACTAAAAATAGACAAGTGAAACATGTATTTAGCATGATCTACAATCTTTTATCCACCACATAAATTTTAACAAGACTATGTTCTTTTTGCAGGGACCGCTGATTTCACTCCTGTGTGTTCTCAACTCATTTGGGCTCCGCGAGTGCTGCTATACTGGGTATAATTCATCATCTTTGATATCTTCTTTGATATCTTCTTTATTTTAAGGTCCTACATACCGACATTTTTCTGCCTTGCTACTGCATCTTATGAAGTGTACTTGTTGTTGGTTATCTTATGCAAATCAAAGATGAAACTGCACATTCTATTTCTTATGAAAGAATTAACAGGAAGCACGTATTCCTGTTCAGAGCAAAAGGTGCATGCTGTTCAACTTCATTACTTGTTATAAGATAATGGGGTGCTGGTATTCAAATAAACAACAGATGACAAATGTTTAATGCAGTTGGAACTGCAATATTGAATTACACCTGGCCATCTATAGGGTCTAAGATTTGTTGTCCCCTCAACTGATATAGTACATGTGTAATCAATCTTTCTGATCTTTGATCTGTGTAGGCACTTACAGATCAACAAATAAAAATGATACATATAGACTCATCTCAAAACAATGCTATGCAATGTTATAATCTTATACTCCCTCCGTCTCGAATTACTTGTCTTACATTTGTCTAGATACGGATGTATCTAGACACGTTTTAGTGTTTGATACATCCGTATCAAATCTAAGACAAGTAATTTGGGACGGAGGTACTAATATCTTGAGAGAATATGATTATAAAAGCTAATTATTGAAGTCACTACAAAATTCTAAACAGAGTCTGTTAAATTTACAAGTTGAACGGTTTAGCATTAGGGTAAACCAACATTAGTTTGTTTTGAATTATAAAGGCACCGACAATTCTAGGATCTGTTGATCATGACAGAAGTGGACATGTCATGACTGTGCTCTCCTTTTAGTAGATAGCTGCTCCTGGTTGTGGTCTCCTTTTCTCTTTGTGTGCAATTTTTATGACCCTTTAATGTTAAGTAGCCTTTTATGGATCTATTTTTATTTTTGCTGCATGAGCTTTGTAGTTGAGACTTCCTAGATTCTCACCTCATATTTTTTTACTAATCAGCAGGATCATCACTTTCTGTTTGGCCTGAACTGTGGAAGTTTCTAAGTAGAAACTGAGGGTCAGTTCAAAACTTCATCCCACTCACCCCATACATACTGGCGAGAAATGGATCGTGATGATGTATCTGGCTTTGTTAGCGGGGGTTGCAAGCTGTTCTGAGTTTTCTAACCTAGTAGAAGTTAATAAATAAAGTTATGATACCAGGAAGTCAGTCAACTGGTGGTTCTTTTCATTTACTAATTGGTTGATGTTTCCGAATTGGAATGGACAAAACTTCTCATGGCCTTGGATTTGGTGATAGCATCAACTCGTTAAACACTTGTCATTACCAGAGCTCAGTCCAACATACTGCTCAGCATAGAGGCACTACACTTGATTCCACATCATACTCCAGCTTTTCATTCACTAACACAAAAGCCCTGAAAAGGAAGTGGGGTACTATGGCGGGAGCAGAAGGTACTGGGGATGCATTACTCACTCTGGGTTTAGGCCGTTCACCAAGTTCATCTGACAATAGCAAAGTAAGCTCTGCCACAGCTTGTGCAATGTCTCCGTGCTCGCTAAAGGAGGCTGATGAGGAGTCATCTGTTGATCTTAGCTTGAATTTTGAGCTTTCCCTTGGCAATGATGTTGCACACTTCCAAAGGAAATCCTCTGCTGGTTTGGTGGCCAAATCTCCTAAACTGGATCTTCAGTTGAGTTTATCCACTGGCTCACCTGAATCTGCTGTCACTTGTACAAATATGGTGTCACCAAATATTCATGATGGCTTGGACATACCAGTGACCTATTCATTACCAGCCATTATAGGGAATGGGTCAGCACCGTCTAGTTGGGGTTTTGAGCACTCTGTGATTTCATCATCATATGCGTCTGAAGCAACATATGCCTTCCCATTTTCGAAGATACCCAGACAAGAGAATGGTACTTTGTCTTCGCCAGTCATATCGTCAACTCTGCCAGCAAGTGTGAAGAGCTCGGTTGCCTGTACTTCGGTGGTAACTAACCCTCAGCAGCGCAATCTTAACACTAAAACCTGCCAGTTCCCTGGATGTGGGAAAGGGGCAAGAGGTGCATCAGGGCATTGCATAGCCCATGGTGGTGGTAGGCGATGCCAGAAACCTGGTTGCCAGAAGGGTGCTGAAGGAAGGACCATATATTGCAAGGCCCATGGCGGAGGGAGGAGATGCGAGTTTCTTGGATGTACAAAGAGCGCTGAAGGGCGCACCGACCACTGCATTGCCCATGGTGGTGGCCGCCGGTGCAGTAATGATGGCTGCTCCCGTGCTGCCCGAGGAAGATCTGGCTTATGCATCAGGCATGGAGGTGGAAAAAGGTGTCAGCAAGACAAGTGCACCAAGAGCGCAGAAGGTCATTCTGGCCTCTGCATCTCTCATGGGGGTGGGAGGCGTTGCCAATTTCCAGAATGTGCAAAGGGTGCACAGGGAAGCACAAAGTTCTGCAAGGCGCACGGTGGAGGCAAGCGCTGCACTTTCTTGGGCTGTACCAAAGGAGCTGAAGGCAGCACCCCTTACTGCAAGGGCCACGGAGGAGGCAAGCGCTGCTTGTTTGAGGGTGGTGGAGTGTGCCCCAAGAGCGTGCATGGCGGGACGCAGTACTGTGTTGCGCACGGTGGTGGGAAGAGGTGCGCTATTTCTGATTGCACCAAGAGTGCTAGAGGGCGGACGGAGTACTGTGTGCGCCATGGTGGTGGCAAGAGATGCAGGTTCGACGGCTGTGTGAAGAGTGCGCAGGGGAGCACTGATTTCTGCAAGGCGCACGGGGGAGGCAAGCGCTGCTCATGGGGCCTGCCGGACTCGAGCTTCGGTATTGGCACAGAGCAGTGTGATAAATTTGCTCGCAGCAAGACTGGCCTCTGTTCAGCTCACACCGCTCTAGTCCAGGACCACTGTGTTCATGGTGGTGGTACATTAGGCCCTGTGATCCACCACTTCGCCACAGATGTTAAACCCGACGAGATGGAAGTTGCTGCAGCAGTGAAGGTTGATCCTGTTTCGATGCAGTCGGAGCCTCCATTGCCGGAGGGCAGGGTGCATGGCGGCGGGCTGCTGGCGCTGCTTTCTCGCGGCGGAAACCACACAGGCCCTGTTGGTAACTCGGAGAACGGCGCTTCTGTCATGATGGCGTGGATGTGAGTGGGCGGACATTCTCATCAAGAATTGGTTGCTTCAAGTTTTGATCTGTTTCCAGAGCTAATGCTGTGATCCACATTTCACCAATTGTTGTCCTAGTCGTTTGGAAGTGATAGGGGACATATATCCTCCGTGTAGAATAAATAAGGGAGAGCGTTGTGGGATTCTCTGTTATTGTAATTAATTAATTATTAATGTCGTCAAACTGCCCTTGCTTTGTGTTTATTACAATATATATGTAGTCTGATACTGCTTCACATTTCCTACTTGGATGTCATCTCTCCGCAGTTTGCTTTCCTTCGTGTTTCTGGTAATAGTGCAGCAGGTAGTATAATTTTTTGGCGGGTAGAAGTACGTCGTCTATTGATCGGATGAGGGTTATTTGGTTATCGATTATTCATCAGATAATTCTCTTTTTTTTTGCGAGTCATCGGATAATTCTCTGTCGCCATGAACGTTGATGCACATGTCATTGCTAGAAACTCTATACCAACCAAAACACCAACCAAAGAGACCCTGGGAATCTGACTTCTAGGTGGTGGTTTCCTCCAGAAATTCCATATAGGCGTCCTGCGCCAATGTCAAACGCAACCTCGATTGCACTGGTTCTTCCTTAACCAGCACGCAACATGAATGATCTCCGAAAAGGAAAAGGAGATGATATGCAGTTAACTCAAGAGTAAAGGTTAATATGCACATGTAGCGACCAGATCTCAGACAGGGATCGGTAATGCTGATACGCGCAGTACTTGAAGAATTTATAATAGAGTAGCAATCACACACTTATTACATTGAATGTCTCAAAAGAGAACTTATTACAATAAATATGGCTTAAGGCCATCTAATAACGATAACAGCGGAAAGCTTGGAAGATAAGTGAGTCCATCAACTCCAACGACATCACTGAGTATAAGATCACGACCTAAGACACCTTACTCGTCGTCTGAAAAGTCTGCAACATGAACGTTGCAGCCCGAAAACGGGTCAGCACATGGAATATGCTGACAATGTAACACATAGAGAGTAATGAACAGAATAATGCTATCACTACATGCATATATGGCTGGTGGAAAGCTGTATGGTTACAGTTTTGGATAAAGCCATTTTTTCTACAACAAAGGAATATATTTTATTTAACTATGATGGTGGTTGTTAAATATTGAGAAGGTTCCTCCAACTCAATCTCAATTAAGCATCATCATTAACCCAACAAAATTAAATTAAGTAACATGATGAGATTCACATGATAATCCAGGTACTAGATACTCCAAACGTCCATAACCGGGGATACGGCTAACCATGATTAGTTTATACACTCTGCAGAGGTTTGCGCACTTTTCCCCGCAAGACTCGATCTCCTCCGCTTGATTTCTCGCACTACATGGTGTTTGAGAGACGGATGATCGAGACACAGTCTTTCAGAAGCATTAACTCTTTACTCTGGGTAGACAATATCAACCTACATCCCCTACATTTGCTAGTCTACCACTGAAAGAGGTCACACAACATACTCAACTATGCTAGAGCGCATAGTAGTTTGCGGCTGCACACGAAAGTTTCTAGCATGAATAATCTCATGATCCCTTTGAGCCTGGGTGACGGTCCATAGGAGAATCACACGGTACCCCGGGATTTTCAAAAAAATACAGGCAACACCGGGTTCCCCAGTTGACTCAATCTATCCAGATGTGTATTAAAGTTGCCACCTTAAATAAACCATTACTTAACAATACTCACATCTGTCATGGATACACTCACCCAATCCACGTCTACTCGCATAGCATAGCAATATAAGCAAACATAGAAGTAACTCCCAAAGGTTTGATAATAAAACAGGTATTAGGTTCTACCTCATCTACTTCCCAAAACTCACATATTAATCAGATCCTAACCATGCAATTGTTTGAGGATTGATCTAATGCAATAAAACTGGGTAGTAAAGAGGTATGATCAAAGTGTTACTTGTCTTGCTGATGATCCGTGAAACCTAGAGACTCGTAGTAGCAAGCGGCGCACTCCGGATACTCTATCGCAAACAAACAAGCATACAATAAGCACTCATCTAATGCACACGTAAAACACAAATAAGAGATCTAACCAGAAAGTTCAACTTAAGAACTCCGGTTTGTAAAAAGAATCAAATCAAACGAAGCAACGAAACTCAAACGGCGAAAGAAACAGGCTTCGTTTACTAATCTGGACCTAATTCAAATTTTACGGTAGCAAAAACTTGTTTGAGTAGGTTAAACGGAAAAAGGGTTTCGAGACGAAACTCTAGGCGCTTGAATCACCTGATTCCGATAAACGAGCGAAAAGTTATACTAGAACGAAAATCGGATCAGAAATCGCGATCGGAAATAATCGCGGAAAATCCGAGAAAAAGAAAAACGGACGAACAGGCTAACGAATGAACGTTCGCTGTCTGCGGCTAAACGACGAAAACCATTCGTTAAAACGAACGTACGGACGAACGTCCACAAAATAAACTAAACCGAATCGGATCTAAAAACACGGATCTAGGGTTTTGAAAAAAACGATCGATTTTCTCGCAAAAACCGAGGCGGCGGCGGCTACCTCCGGCGAGGGCGGCGGCAGGGTCGGCGGCGGCGGTCAACGGCGGCGGCGCGGGCGGCGGCGGTGGCGGCTCGCAGCGGCGGCGGATCGGGGCTAGGGTTTCGGGGGCGGGCGACTGGGCTGGTGGGGTGGCCTCCTGGCTTATAAGGGCCGGCCGGGCCAGGAGTCCGGGACGGACACGACCCGGTAGGTCGGTTCGTTTTTTTTTAAATAATTTCGCGCAGAAAAAAAAAATAAAAAAAATACTAAACGAACTCCAAAAATACCGAAATAAATTATCCCCGTCCTCTAAAAATAAGACGGACTAGGTGAACATTTATTTGGGCCTAAAATGCAATTTTGAAAAACGCATTTTTCCTAATTCAAAATAAAATAGCGATAAACTCCGAAATAAAATCTTATTTGATTTTATTATTAAATCTCCAATATTTCTTTATTTTGGGAAAGTCATTTTATTCCCTCTCTCTTATTTTTATAATTGAAATATTTGAAGATAAAATAATTAAAATCAAATGATTCTATTTTCAAAATTTGAGAAAACTCAAATATGAAAATAACGAAATCCCCAACTCTCTCCGTGGGTCCTTGAGTTGCGTAGAATTTCTAGGATCTAGCCAAAATGCAATAAAACATGATATGCAATAATGATCTAGTGTATAACATTCCAAATTGAAAATTTGGGATGTTACAAACCTACCCCCTTAAGATGAATCTCGCCCTCGAGATTCGGGTTAGCTAGAAAATAGGTGAGGGTGGTTCTTCAGTAGATCTTCTTCTCGCTCTCAGGTGGCTTCATCCTCTGTATGGTGGCTCCATTGAACTTTACAAAACTTGATAACCTTGCTGCGGGTGACTCGGCTGGCATAATCGAGAATCTTGACTGGTTTCTCCTCATAGGTTAAATCACTATCCAACTGAATCGCTTCTAGTGGCACTGTATCTCTCAGCGGTATATCAGCCAAGTCTGCGTGGCACTTCTTCAACTGGGAAACGTGGAACACATCATGAACTCCTGACAATCCTTCGGGCAATTCCAACTTGTAAGCAACTTCTCCCATACGCTCCAAAACTTTGTATGGTCCCATAAAACGTGGCGCTAACTTTCCTTTAACTCCAAAACGCTTAACTCCTCGAAGTGGGGATACATGAAGATAAACTCTGTCTTCGACTTCGTATACTGTCTCCTTGCGTTTAGAATCTGCATAGCTTTTCTGCCTGGACTGGGCTACCTTGAGCCTATCGCGAATCAACTTAACTGTCTCTTCAGACTCCTTAATCAAATCTGGTCCAAACAGCTAACGGTCTCCAACTTCATCCCACAACAATGGTGTCCTGCACCTCCTTCCGTACAAAGCTTCGAAAGGGGCCATCTTCAAACTGGATTGATAACTGTTGTTGTAAGAGAACTCTGCATATGGCAATTTGTTGTCTGCTATGTCTTGAGCTTGCGTTGGTTTTTCTTGAAGATGAAAGGGTGATGCAGCAATAGTAGCGTAAGTATTTCCCTCAATTTTTAAGAACCAAGGTATCAATCCAGTAGGAGGCTCCTCAAAAGTCCCATGTACCTACACAAACAAACAAAGAACTCGCAACCAACGCAATAAAGGGGTTGTCAATCCCTTCACGGCCACTTGCGAAAGTGAGATCTGATAGAGATAGTATGATAAGATAAATATATTTTTGGTATTTTATAATATAGATGCAGAAAGTAAAGATGCAAATAAAAGTAGAATGAAAGCTTATATGATAAAAGATAGACCCGTGGGCCATAGGTTTCACTAGTGGCTTCTCTCAAGATAGCATAAGTATTACGGTGGGTGAACAAATTACTGTCGAGCAATTGATAGAAAAGCGAATAATTATGAGATTATCTAGGCATGATCATGTATATAGGCATCACGTCCGCGACAAGTAGACCGACTCCTGCCTGCATCTACTACTATCACTCCACACATCGACCGCTATCCAGCATGCATCTAGAGTATTATGTTCATAAGAACAGAGTAACGCATTAAGAAAGATGACATGATGTAGAGGGATAAACTCAAGCAATATGATATAAACCCCATCTTTTTATCCTCGATGGCAACAATACAATACGTGCCTTGCAACCCTTTCTGTCACTGGGTAAGGACACCACAAGATTGAACCCAAAGCTAAGCACTTCTCCCATGGAAAGAAAGATCAATCTAGTAGGCCAAACCAAACTGATAATTCGAAGAGACTTGCAAAGATAACTCAATCATACATAAAAGAATTCAGAGAAGATTCAAATATTTCTCATAGATAAACTTGATCACAAACCCACAATTCATCGGATCTCGACAAACACACCGCAAAAAGAGTTTACATCAAATAGATCTCCACAAGAGAGGGGGAGAACATTGTATTGAGATCCAAAAAGAGAGAAGAAGCCATCTAGCTAATAA